TATATCCGAATTCGTGAATTGTACCGCCATTATATGCATCTAGTACCACTTCTTGTGACTGCATTTCGACTTGACTCTTCCCCCTGACAGCTGGTTGGTCAGTTTAATAATAAGCAGATAATGTAATCTTAAAATAAAAATTAATGCCTCCCAAGAAGTAGGAATCGACTTTTTATTTTGCTTTCTCTTTTCCTTTTCATTTCAGATTTGTTCCACATTTTGAAAATGCCATGCTTTACGTACTTTTTCAGCATACGGTAAAAAATGTTTGAAGCTCATATTGATGCCAGGCGTAACTTCTGGCTCGCTGTATTTTATAAACATCATTGGCATGAGTTTCAAAGTTGTGCTCGCGATCGGTTCTGCGATAGTGTACGCCATTCGACTAGGCAGCACCGTGATTCGTGTGGCGTTCCACATTTTGAAAATGCCATGTTTTACGTACTTTTTCAGCATACGTAAAAAAAGTTTGAAGCCAGGCCATATTGATGCCAGGCGTAACTTCTGGCTCGTTGTATTTTATAAACATCATTGTCATGAGTTTCAAAGTTGTGCACGCGATCGGTTCTGCGATACTGTAGGCCATTCGACCAGGCAGCACCGTGATTCATGTGGCGTTTAATTTTAGAACGTGGTAGTCGGCATTTCAACGGTGCATGATCGTTTTTGAGTTTGCACATTCGCTCCGGTGGCTGTTACGAAAGCGATGCAGAACCTTGTCGTCACGTGGGCCATAGCCTTCATACTTTTCCAGGGCATCTTGACCGAAGGGGAAAACATTGTAGTGATTCCAAGCACTCTCGGTGACCTGATCACTGGCAACGCGACCTCCGGAAAGACCAACATTTATATCTACAACATAAGCCTTGTAAGTTATGATTGTGATTGCGGAAATTTTTGAGATTTTGTCATCTTTTTGCCAACATTTCTATTGTTTTTGCAACTGATTGTTACTTTAAACTCATTTCTTATAAAGCCATATTTCCTGTTAAGAACTTTAGAGCTATCAGCTGCCGAAGTTGTGAATCACATGCGAAGACTATGGTTGGGTGCTGTGATAGCCATGGAAGTCATAAACTTTTTCAGCTCCGTTAAGCGGTCAGCTGAAAGAGACATAACTTCGGATAATACAAATTTTACGCAACCGTTAATTATTTTTGTCACTATTGCACGCATTTTATTCTGTTCACTAAGGTCTCATACACGAGTCAGGAATACACTGTTTCACTAAAGGCTTGCCTCGTATTCTTATTCGTGAGTCTTAGGCCAGTTTGATTCTATGCCTAAGTGATTGGTTGTGCGCGGCAGTCGACTTCCAGATTTTGGCTCTTTCTTTCTGGTCTTCTTTTCATAGAAGTGACATCTGGTTCGTGGTATAGTGACATTCATAAATTACTAAGCGTGAACTCATAAATTAAGTGGTGGTACCCTCTGTCTGAGCTTGAGTGAAAAAGGCGACTTTCTGTTCCGTAATACGCCGCCACATCCCAGTGAGGTCGACATTCGAGACCGTCGCATATTCCAGACGTTTCATATGGTACTTGATCCATTTTCAGGGGACATTTTTGCAGCCATAGTTTGTATAAACTATTTTAACAGTGCTTTTGTTCAATCCACTCTGACTACGAAGTTGGACATGTAAACCGGAACCAAGACGCTACGAGGGAAACATAATGGTGCACATTTATTCTGAGCTTATGTTGCTATACAGATGCAGATTTGTCATGTTAACTACTCGTTTAGGGCACTCAGCGTTATGGTCAAAACTACTCTTCTTCCTTACAGTTACGTTAATGGTTATCAACTGTTAAATAGTGTAACTCTTTCTGCATGTTCGCGGATGCCCTAAAAATGTTAGGTAAGCAACATCAGTACAACAGCAAGGTGATAAAATTTACTGAACCATGCCTGCTTCGCATCTTGCCAGTTTCTTAGTATTCCAGACTTCTCGAGTTTGTGCGCGTTGGCACCAAGAAGTGATCAGTTCATCTGACGAGACGTGTAATGGCACAAGGATCCTGCCTGTTACTGGCGTTATTCATTTTATGCACGTCTGACTACTTCCCAAAGGAGATGTTATCATGTATGTAAAATATGGCGACGATACCGCTCTTTTAAGTAAAAGAAATATGGAGTTCGATGAGTGTGAACGGTCTCACGCGCAATTCAACCAAATTCGTCGCACCAGATGTACAAACAGAATTATTATGAAGCTACCATGGAACAGCTGCAGTTCCTCAACATCTAATTCAGAAAGGCAGAAATTATGAAGTAACTCGGCTTGGTTGTGGATGACGGTCTTAGTTGAGAACCTCAGCTAATTTTGCCAGAATACTCATGCTCATGATTCCTTCTGACTCGAAAAACTGCAGATCAGATTTTGTGGTTACACTTTGTTTGCGTAACAGGGAATTTTTGTCTTAGGCAATATAAACTTCTGATTAGAGGCAAGGCCTGTAGGGGCGGGTCAGATTTTCTTCCATAAAAACCGTCCTCTAGTTCGTGTCACAGGAAACGGATAACGATCACAGTGAGGGGTTGCTCGACAAGGTGAAGTATGGTAGAGTTTGTTTACTTTTAGCCGCTATGGTAGCCGTCAAGCCAGTCATGAACCCGAAATGGTGTGCCAACGAAGTTCTGGAGAATTATTATAAAATCTTGGCTGGTGCTCATAACTGCCCAGAGGCTTGGAAGCGGCTGCCGCTCTTCAGCCGGTCGGCAAAAGACCTGTCCTCCCTGAACCCAATGGCGGCCTCTGATTCGCAGGCAGGTATATGTTCGCACTGTAGAAATATGGCTGCTCAGCTGCACTCTGCGTCCCTTTTCCTTTTTCTCCACGGAGACAGAGTATAAAGGAGCAACCATCCACAAGAGATATGAACTCAAAATTCTAAGCCAGTGTCTCGACCCCTGGCTCATCAACG